TGTGTAGTTATAAATATTATATATTAAATTTTTATAGAAATAAATACTAATTAATAATAGCGGATTTATAATAATAAAAGTTATTTAAATTAGTACAGTGTGTGTTTTTTATTGGTTTTAAATGCGGTACAAATTCTTCAAAATAAAATGTTTACCGCTTCACAAACGAAGAATGAACTTGATGAATAATCATTAATTTTACCAGAATTTTAACAAGGGATGCAAATGAATAGATAACTTTTCGGACTGTTCTTTAGTTTAAAAATGAAACTGCCAATTGGAGCAGAATAATTAATGATATTCATTCTTCTGTAAAAATATAATCTAGCTTTAAAACACTTCGTTAGTTGTCATTATAGATCATTTCAATAATAATTAGATGGCTTTTACATATTTCTTTAAATTCTTTTCGCTATCAAACTTTCGAATTGAACTGATGTGCTTATTCTTTGAAGCGAATGAAAATTTAAGAATTGGAAGTAAAAAAAATCTATATATATATATATATTCAGTAGGTATATTATACGTATAAATCTAAATAAATCCTATTTGCCTATGCATCACTTTTCTACGCAATTAAATCCTATCAAGCCCCACCCACTATTAAAGTACGACATTCATGGTCGTCATGCCAACGTATTCTCCCGGACGGGATACTTTGCGTCCGTTCCCAACCACTGCCGAGTTCTGCGGTGCTGGTCACGTGATCCTGTCACTGCAGCAGCGATAGCTTCTAGGCAAGCGCACAAAGAGCTGTTGGTCAGAGCTGTCCCGAGCAGTGGACAGAGTAGTAGTGTCTGCACTCATCACAAACATGGAACCGTCACCCCCTGTGTCCAAAGACGGGGGAATCGGTCCTCTTCCTGGGTGTTATCTTCTTATCGTCGTAAGTGAACCCCATACGGATGACCATAGAGAGAAAATAATACAGAAAATACGAAAAGGTAATTTCTTATTATATTTCTACGTTTTTGTTAAAGATATTCGGAGACAAAATTTTTTACTTTGGAACTATATCGCTTTGTATGGAACCGATCGAAGATTGCGGCACCAGGGCGTCTCCCTCAGCATAGACTGCAGTTGCAATTCTATCATCACCAACTTACGGAATGCATAAGAAAATTCGTTTTAATAATTATTTTTCTCTTATATTCGATTTCTTAAATTGATATTTACTGAAAATTTTCGATTTAAAACATGAATTTGATTCAGATAAGAGACAAAGCATCAAAAAAAAAAAGGAAAGTAAAAACCAATCTATGAAATGCATAACGAATTTAATTATCTCTAAAANAGTAACACCGAATTTTGTTTCCTAACGCTCTTCGTGCGTTAATGCCGCTTCACTTAAATCTTTATTCAAAATTATGTCAGAAGCAATCTTCGAGTATTTGTGAACTCGAAAAATGCTTAGGGTAGTTGTAGCCGCTAGTCTGTATTGCCAATTCTTCTCAAGCTAAATTGACAAGTCTCTAGCTGTGATTTTTTTTAACGTTTTTCGTCCTGTAAATACTAAGAGAGTCTTTTAAATCAAGCCCATTATGGATTCGGCCAGGCCCACAATGGGATAGGGTTAGACATATTCCGGACGAGCCATCACCGAAAAATTCGTGGATTTTTTTCTCTTGGATCCCCAAAGCGATAAGCTGACACCTTAACTTCTTGGCTATTCGGCTGTCCTCTCCAGCAATGTACATTTAGATATTTTTTATTTATTAAACTTATTTTTAAAAGTATAATTCTATTAAACATATTAGTCAGGCAGTGACTACAATATAGTGAATCACGCTGCGTTACCTGATTCCACTAGTCCATGTTATAAATCGTACTATAGTAAATCCCGTACTAAATGAAGTTGCATTAAACAAAGGCATTCCTTTACTTTTAAAATTCATAAACATGAATCTAAATAAATGCATAGAAAAGGAAAGTAACTTGAGATTTCACAATAATTTATTTTTGATCCAATTATATACAGTTACAATTAAAATCAATATTAATTTTTCATATCCAAGTTTAAAAAATGTTCATATTGAATAATAGTGAAACTGATTGAGGAGATTTCCTTTGATCACTTAAAACAATGATTAAAAAATCGGTCGATTTGCCAAATTATTTGTCAAATATGGATTCGATAACAAAATCGATTAGATAATTATTGATTTAATCGATTTTGTAATTTGTTCGATTCGTGCATTAAATTTTTGTCAATTCATTCAGTAGACCTGAAATAAAATAAAACATAGGCCTTTGTTGTGTAATTAATCATTGAATAAATTTAAATACAGTAACATATAAATTAGTAAATATTAATTTAAAATTATAATTTAGTCTAGTAAAATAAAAAAAAACGTATTTAATTAGTTAAGTTTGTCAAAATGTAAATAACTGGTTTATAAATAAATATAAAATAATACTAATAAATGAAATAGTTGATTGATCATTAATTTTTGTTTCTGTTACTCTCTTGTAACGAACTAAGGTTCATACAATAAAGCAGTGATTGATTGATTGATTGATCACTACAGAGCATTTTTTGAAATTTTCATATTTCAGTTATTATTTCTTTTTAACAAAACTATTATTAAATAGTATACAAAACGCCAACATTTGATGGTATGTTTTAGTACCCATTATATATGTTACGGCTAAACCCCGTGAATCAGATAAAACTAGGATTAAAGCAAGTAATAATCTACCAATTTCGAACTTTATCGGTATAAAGCAGACATGATTCAAAAACGAATGTATGAAGCTGAAACAAAATTTAAAATTTGGGCTTTATCCGCTTCATTTTGGTTAAAATGAACAGAAAATTTCACTTTAACCGGTGAACCTAAGAGCTTTTCAATTCAGATTGGATGGATAAAATAGGAATTTCGTTTTTTAAATCAACTAAAATTTATTATCTCTCTATTGCATAAAAATGAGAAAAATAAAAATAAGCGTTGCCAGTTATTTCATCAAAATATATTATAAACAGCTTTAAAAATTGTATCTTTTAAAGCTAAAAACGTATAGATTTACATTTAAATAAATTGTCCCCAAAAATAAATCTGGCTGGTAAATTGTCAGACTTGGCATGGCAACATTGCTGTTTTCTCACTACCTTAGAAGTAGATAAAAACAAAATGTCCATCTATATTATAATAATGAAACATCTGTATTCAGCTCTACAACAATAGGTATAAGCCACATTATCCGAACAAAGCTCGAATTTTAAATTTTTTCCAGCTTCATCCATCCGTTTTTGAATAATGTCAACGTTATACGGATGAAGTTCGAAATTAATTTGCTTTAACCAAAAGACTGAAAAAGTCAATATTAGCCGGTTAATCCTAGCTTTATCGGATTCACTGACTTTAGCTACAGCATATATAAATTTATTTACTTGAAAACTTGAATATAATAATACCCCGTTTAGTGCGATTAATGCGTTTCACAAAATTATCACACTTGAATATATTTAATAGGAATAATAACAATTCATTTGAAAATATATTTTTTCACTTAATAATACTCTAAATAACATAATAATAGTCCCAAAAATCCAGGAAAGAAAATGAAAACTACAAGAGAAGATGAAATGAAAAGATACTACAAAATCGAAATTTTTATTATTTCATTTTTCAATTAAATTTTAAAATATTAACATTTTTATCAAAACAAAAAAATACTTATCTAATATTTTTTTAACTCTCTTACCCTCCATTTCTAAATGGAAGCTCTTAGTAACACCGAATTTTGTTTCCTAACGCTCTTCGTGCGTTAATGCCGCTTCACTTAAATCTTTATTCAAAATTATGTCAGAAGCAATCTTCGAGTATTTGTGAACTCGAAAAATGCTTAGGGTAGTTGTAGCCGCTAGTCTGTATTGCCAATTCTTCTCAAGCTAAATTGACAAGTCTCTAGCTGTGATTTTTTTTAACGTTTTTCGTCCTGTAAATACTAAGAGAGTCTTTTAAATCAAGCCCATTATGGATTCGGCCAGGCCCACAATGGGATAGGGTTAGACATATTCCGGACGAGCCATCACCGAAAAATTCGTGGATTTTTTTCTCTTGGATCCCCAAAGCGATAAGCTGACACCTTAACTTCTTGGCTATTCGGCTGTCCTCTCCAGCAATGTACATTTAGATATTTTTTATTTATTAAACTTATTTTTAAAAGTATAATTCTATTAAACATATTAGTCAGGCAGTGACTACAATATAGTGAATCACGCTGCGTTACCTGATTCCACTAGTCCATGTTATAAATCGTACTATAGTAAATCCCGTACTAAATGAAGTTGCATTAAACAAAGGCATTCCTTTACTTTTAAAATTCATAAACATGAATCTAAATAAATGCATAGAAAAGGAAAGTAACTTGAGATTTCACAATAATTTATTTTTGATCCAATTATATACAGTTACAATTAAAATCAATATTAATTTTTCATATCCAAGTTTAAAAAATGTTCATATTGAATAATAGTGAAACTGATTGAGGAGATTTCCTTTGATCACTTAAAACAATGATTAAAAAATCGGTCGATTTGCCAAATTATTTGTCAAATATGGATTCGATAACAAAATCGATTAGATAATTATTGATTTAATCGATTTTGTAATTTGTTCGATTCGTGCATTAAATTTTTGTCAATTCATTCAGTAGACCTGAAATAAAATAAAACATAGGCCTTTGTTGTGTTTTTATCAATTTATATCTTAGTTTAGAGTCAAATGAAATAATAAACATAAACATTTTTATATCAGAAATCAATTTTAATATCATTATAATTGATTTTATCTAATATATTAAAAATCAATAAACATTTTTATACTGATAAATAACAAGTATGTTAAAGTTAATATATATAGACTATATTTATAATACAAAAGTAAATTTTCTTCAAAAAATTAAAAATATACATTTATATTTTCCACTTTAACATTATAATAATATAAAATAATAATAATCATTAAATTATACTGTATAATGTATATAATGTATAAATTATTATTAATATTTTAAATTGAATGGTTATTACATTATAATGTTCTATTTTTATACACTCGTGCATTACCTACAGTACATTTTTTATATTATTACAGCATAATAAAATATTTTAAAAGGTCGCTTTTTTAATCAACATTACAATAAATTAAACTTTGATCTTTTAACATAATAACATTTAGATTTAAATATTTTAAAATTTATATTAGTTTAATTCTTTGTTATTTTACATCATTTCATTCCATTCCGTTGTTTGTTACTCCTGAATGAAAACTTCATTATAAGATTTCTCATTAGAGAATTGTACTATTTAAAATTAAAATTTATTATTTCTTTTATTTATTTATTTAGCATTATATTATTTTAAAAATAATTTCATTAAATAAATTAACTTAATTAAGAAATGAAAGTTTTAATTAATCTTTTTAGAAGTTATATAATTGTTGAAGACAGGAAAAAAAATACAGTATAAAGATAAATAAATAAAAAAAGCAAAAAAAAATGTTTACTTTTTAAAATATTTTTAGAAAAGAAATTTTATTTTGTTTTCATTAAAACTTACGAATTATAATAATTGTTTAAGCTATTAAGCTAAACGTTTTAACAGAAAATCAGAACATTATTAAGGATTAGAAAGGCAAAAATAATTAAAATAACGAAAATTTTAAAAAGATAAAGTTATTTTTTATTTATTATTTTAAAATATTATTCGAAATAAATAAATTTATGTACGGATCCGGTACATAACTTTTATATAGGATTTACAATATGTTCTTTATTACTAGTTTCCTAATTCATCCATTAATTACTATATCTACAGGAAAAAATGTTCGTCGAGATGTTTTATGAGTTGATTATTAATTTAAATAATGATTTATAAGAAAGAAATTATACATAAAAATTAATTTTCAAAATTACTATTAAATTAATAACAGTATTTGCC